CTATACAACATATTCCCTTATTTCCTACCAACCCCCGAGGAAGACTTGTGCCAACCAGGTTGAGCACGCAGGAGGACAGATTTGCACATGCGCTGGCGCCCCAGATCCTCAAGCCATTAAGGATCCAAGGGACATGTTGAGATTCTGTATATAGGGGTTGTGGGTTTCCCTTTTAGGGGCTGCATGAGGGCTCCCCAAAATGAGAAGCCGCGAGACTTCAGACTGCTCCATTCAATGTTTAGAGTTTAGCGGTCAGGGCGCTGCGGTTGAGGAAGAGCTAATTTCTGCTTTAGTGCCAGGACAATCCGACTCTTTGCTATCAGCAGCCGTCTCTTTTTGGCTTTATGTTCGCAGAAATGAGTATGCATAACCTGCACCCCTTTACATACCCCATAACGTAGGCATTACACTAGTGCAGGGCTTTTAACTGGAGCTAAATGTCCTCCATCCACCGTAGGTGGAGATGTGTAGGGTTCAAGCATGGTTTCCAAAATTAGGGGCTGAGGGGACCATATTTTTTTGCAGTAAACATGGAGGACCTCAATTTTGAAATTTCCCATCCCTACGCATCTGCTGTATCTTCTTGCAAGAGACCCCTAGTTTGGAAGCCCTAAGCCCTAAACCCTAAAACTATTTGCTCGCTCAACTGGCCTGTAGGCTCCGGACTGCCATCTGCGACGTGCCGCTGGGGGAGATTCGAGCGGGTGACGAGGTACATACCCAGGACTTGTCATCTTACTGCGTAAGAGTTATAGCAATAGACATAGTGACAGTAATGTGAATAGTAAGAGTGGTCGTAGCACCATGATCGCTCCCTCAAGACTTGCAAGCGTTTCCTTTTTATAGCACATGGCAACCAGAAGTTCTAATAACTCAGGCTGCGGTCGTAGGCCGTCCTGACGCCGCAAGAATTCCTCTAAGAGGCTCTAAGATTCATTACTGAGGTGCAGGAAGCATGTTGCGGACCAGTTCCATTTCATATTGGCAAATCCTTCACATTGCAGATACAGCTCCGATGAACATGCAGCTGTTCTTCGCCAGCCTAAGCCTGTTGAGCATGTGCAGGCCGGATAAGAGAAACAGTGACCCATGCAAGCAATTCAGCTCAGCGCTGGCTGGCCGTCACTTTTGAAAGCATGTGCCGTTGACCTCTGCCCTGCTAAGTAGTTCAGTGTGACTAGAGTGCCCCAGCACATGTACTAGATATTCATGTCCATGAAAAGTGGTGACTCGAAGAATCCCCCCCAGCAACTCCAACAGACCTGTGTAGGCTGCCCGGGCAAGAAGGTCAACCCAAGTCCAGCCATGTCTGTCCGATTCCTGCAACCACGAAGTGGAGGAGTCATGCAGAGTTTAGAATTCCTACGCGAATCAGCAGGGTAGGTTTATGTTCAGTGCACACGGGGCATGCATGCGCAACCTGGGTGTCTTGCTCTTGACAGCAAGGCCCCATGCTTTGCCAACACCTGGCACAAAAGTCGTACTTGGGGTTGGCGGTGCGAGCCCTATAGTATAGGGTATAATACCCCAGTAATACACTTTTTCCTTGTTTATTTGGAGGGTCTCCCTATTA